ACAACAAAACAGCCCGCACTATAGCTTGATACACACATCACCAAGAAAGCCTCATCAGGGTATACCACTTCTTACTTCTTATGTCACCTTCTTGCACTTTTCTCTGAGCGTATCTTTGTAGTATACGGGACTTCATGTGAACAGAGGTCACCTGACCAGGCACTTACCCCCTTCGGAGTTTTAACACGATTCTCCTTCGCGGATCCGTTCAATACTTGTTGATCGTGCAGTCGGCCAGCGATAGCTGTGTCTCCGATTGAAATGAGCGTTTTCAGTGTCCGGTAGGAGCGTTTGTCATGATACCTACATTGTGTATCAATAAAATCGAGTACAATTGTTGGTGAAAATCGGTTTGCCGATGCCGACACATGTTCGTTTCAGACACTGTGTACATTTCGCCCCGGACCATTTCGTACAGGTTGCTGCTACAGTGTAGTGTTTGCACAATGTTGGACCATCACGCGTTGACTCCGCCTCGATGTGAATGTCCAGTCAACAGAAGTCAAGAAGCTGAGGAAGACACTGGCAGGCTAGACCGACATGAGATCGCTCGCCTGTTGACAGACGTTAGTTTTCATGTGAAAAACATTCTTTTGTCTCGCAAACCTTACCATGGCAACGAAGTAGGGTCTAGCGCCAGCCAGGCCTCCAACTGGTCGACATGGTTAGACGAGGTAGACCGTCTCCCCCCCCCACCCCTTAGTGTGGTCGTCTAATGTTGATTCAGTCAGGTAAAAAGCATGTGTGAGAGCGGCGAAATGAGGGTCTTGTAATACACAAAGATAGTTTTGTTGATCGACGGCAGACAGACAGACGGGTGAAGAAACGGGCATGGTTACTCTGAACCAGAGCCACTTGAAGACTCGGGTAGCAACACGTTGACGAGCGGGTGGGACATCATGGAAGGGGAGGCTTTTGCAGCTTTCCGTTTTTTTTATTGTTTTGAGTGAACCATGAAAAGGGGAGATGCTACCAACAAGAGAAATCCCGTTAATCAGGTTTAAGAAAGACTTTTGGAGGAATCGAGAGACCGAACAAAATTCAATCTTCAATCAATTGGAAAAGGCTTGGGACTGATTGAGAAGTGATCGTTTCAGAAGGGCTTGGTAAACAATCGGTAGTATTTATTTGGGCAACGTTTCGCTTTTGACACAAAAGCTTCATCAGGTCAAGTGAACAGGTCACCAGTCTTTTTGCTGTAACTCTTTCAACTTCGGATATGCTTGGTATAAGCCTGTTATTCTTGAATGCGAATCTCCAACGAGGTGCGCAAAAAGGCTGACGGCGCAAAGACACGAAGCGTGATGAATAACCATGAATTTGAATAAAAGAGACAAACATGCGTATTTTGAAATCATGGCGTCTGAACCAACTAAAAACGATATGATACCGAGTCAACTCAGCAGGTGTGGTTGCGAGGCCAGTGGGTGCCCGTTATCCGCAAGACGCTCTCTGCTGCAAAACGTTTCTATGCCCAAATGTTGCATTTTGTTGCGTATGTGCTCAAACCAAAAAACGCCCCAATCTAGGTTCGTATTTTTGCTGCTCACTAAATTTTATTGCTCACTGAAGCAACCATGCCTCTGGCTGAAAAGTCTTGTAGGGTAATTTCCCATCATCGCTGAGACCCCGGGATGCCTAAATGGGGCTTGAAAGTTTGGACTAGTGCTCTCAATTCAATAGCCCAATTGCTTTAGTCCATCAGGAACACGTCATAACTTCCGAAAATTCAATTCCATTGTGCGAATACTGAGCGCCAGGCCAGGATCGGAAGGATCGATTTAAACCAACCAGGATCAATAACCTCCGAAATCCAAAGACATGCATCCCAATACCTCCCTTATGTCGGAAAGACTGAGTTAGTTGATCATGAGTTTGCAAAAGATACTTTTGGTGTTTCCAGGAAAGCTTCCAATTATATCCCATGTGTAATGTTTGCTCCTCTTTCCTAACAATCAACTCCACGCTAATCACAAAGTAAATAACTTCTTAGCGACTATACACTCATTTGTAAACTAATTTGGTTTTTCGAGAGATTCAGCTGGGTTCAGGTAATTGAATGTGCTGCACCAGGCCGCCTCATGTTTCAATCGCTACGATATTCGGGATATCGCGATAGATGTATATTTGTTATGCACTACTCATAAGGTTGTTGAAAATCCATCGACAGCCCACGACCGGTTTCGCCCTTCTTGGGGCTCATCAGGTTGGCGCTGGAAACATCACAAACGAAAGATTTAACTGGTTTTCAGGTGAGTCTCTCGAAAAAAAAACAAATTAGTTTGCAAATAAGTGTATATTCGCTAATTTCGTACAATTTGGTTTCAAGTAGAACATAAGGTTGACGGAAACCCGGGGACTGCGCCTACCTGATGAGCCCCAGGAAATTTTCAGCAACCTTTTGAGTAGTTCATTCTAGATAATTTCTTCTTCCAAGAGGGGACGACACTTTCAAAGACGGATATCCAACCAAATCTTTAGGAAACGACAACCTCTCGATCGGTCCGAACCTTTCCCACGTTATTAAGAGTGCGCAGGTGCGGGTTTAGTGTTTCTGTTGGCACGTGGGAAGAGCAAACGCGGTATCGACAGCGTTGTCTCAACAAAGGTGTACCAGTTGATGTGTGCACACACCGTTCCTTAGTGCGAGAGTGGCTTAATAGGTCCAGTAATTGATGTTATCCTGGTCCATGTGGCAGTGTAGCTGAATACAAGCTGACGAACGAACACTTTCGACAAGAATTTTTCGAGCCAGCAAAAATTCCGTGTACTAAGAAAGTGGATGCACACACAGGGACGGTCTGGAAGTACGACGATAGACACAATCTCTGGAGCGCTAATACGGTCCTATTGATGACCAAGTTTAAATTTGAATTTTGCAGTCAGTAGACCCAAATTTGAGTTGGCCCACTGGTAAAGGTGCGAAGTTACTGACCGGACCTCTACCTCTCGACTTCCCGTGTCTAGGATTGGGCAACCTGGCAGTATCTCGGCTTTCGTGCTTCCTTTGTGTAGCTCGACAGCCAGGCACCGAAAGGGTGTTGTTTTACTACAGTCATTTGGAACGGTTGTACACTGTTGCCTTCGAACACAAAGAACGAAATTGCGTAGTTTGATAGCGATGGTTTTTGCGGCTTCGGGCATGCACTTCCTAATAAGTTATGACTGACTGAGCGGAACTCATCCAGTCTTTACAGATTGCTCGAAATACGGTCTTCCATTCGTGACAGCCCAACACCCTCCCTTAGGGAGGTTCAAGAAATGACTCTTCGAAGGGACCTCAGGCGAATCCGAAAACTGGGCAAAAGTGGTAGTTGGACACTACCGGACGAATCTCAAAATACGGTCTTCCATTCGTGACAGCCCAACACCCTCCCTTAGGGAGGTTCAAGAAATGACTCTTCGAAGGGACCTCAGGCGAATTCCGAAAACTGGCAAAAGTGGTAGTTGGACACTACCGGACGAATATGGATGTCGGCGGAGCTTTTACTCTGTCACTTTACCTTGAGGAATCAAAGCATATTCAAAGTCTTTTGTTTCGAACCGAAAATCAGTTGTCTGTAGGTTCAGGGTAGTCACTCAAAGAAGCATTTCCTTAAAACCCTGTGCTATTGCCCTTTTTGGTGGGTAAGTTTGTCCAGGATCGAACAATATGGACGTAAAGGGAAGTGCCTTGGCGAGTGGGGCAGGGATTAAATCGACGACCATCGTCACAACCGGGGCTAACAGCGTAACGGTGTATACTACTGATGAGAAACGCGAGTAGTTTCTTGTCAGGTGTCAAACGCTCTGCCCCGCATCTAACGGAAGGTTAGTACGGAAATCATGACGCCGCTTCTCAGTGCTTGTTAATCAATGTCTAATAATCAAGGGAGGTCCAAGAAAATTCATAAAGACGATTGAGAATGTTTGCGTATCAAAGGCTCTGTGCCAATCAGTTTTTTACATTCGTTTTCAATAGGGTTTAACTGCTTTGTTTGTCTACTTATTGTCGTTCAATTGGTGTACTGTTACGGCACCCATCACCAGGTAAGAGATTCGGATGAACTGAGCTGCAGTCTCTTTTCTTAGTAACTTACTAAGTGGCCGGATATTTCGTGCACTTTGCCCCATGGCAGAATTTGAATTTTACGAGCCAATCACTGATAACCATGAAATCGATTCATCTCGATTCGCGCCTTAATTCTCTTACTGATATATGCGAGAAACCGAAGTTTTTTGGTAGAGGAATGAAGGTTTCCGTCTCTAAGTTTCCTAATTGTGTGGCCTACGAAGCTGCAATTTTCCGAAGATTCATAATTTCATCCTACATAGCGAGGACATTAAATTTATGAGATTCTTGATGGCTCAACAATTCTGCCTACTGATGTCCATTATTCAACATTCCTTCATTCTTGAGGGGTCTCAGCTAACTGCAGGTTCGATGTCAAACTTGGGCTGTGCCTAATTTCCATGTGACCCGGCGAGAAGGCCGGCTACCGGACGTGGGTTAGACAGGCGCACATTAGGAACACGAATACGCTGACGGTGCGCCAACTGTCCATCCGGCATTGTTCACCACTTGGTAACCGTGTTTGTCAAAGATTCCCCACAGTAGCAGTGCACATAAACAACTAACCCAAACAGATTTATTGGATTTGACAACCCAGCGGCACACATCCGAACGTCAACCAAAAGTGCTTTAGGTCCGCAGAGCGAGAATCGTAGTGTTTGCCTTAGCAACCAACCTGTTGTGCTTTGTGTGTACAAAGGAAGGAACTTTCCTGGAAAAACCACGGTTTACTACCTAAGCAAAGTGGAGCAAATCACGTGTTCTGTGGGCAAGCGGGTGAAACCCCAGCCATGTTGGAAGATCTTAAAGCTGAGCAAACGCAAGATCTCTTGTGGGCCCTTGCGTCTTTCAGGGTCCTTATGATAGGGAAAATATCTCCAAAAGGTTCTGGTAATGCCAAAGAGCGGCACAGTTGCCTCTCACTTGGTGGACCGAATTCAAACCGTCTAAATAATGTCCGCTCTGTGGAGAAACCGCCTGTGAGTTTATAAGCAACAGTAATCATGAATGGAGCTACCTCGGCCGACACATATGCAACCAGAGTTGAAACCAGGCATGCATTCTCATGTTTGTACGCTGTCTTACCACGTTTCAGGATTATTACAGCTTTTGAAGAAAGACCGTGCCACGTGTAGCACATTAGTAATGAGAGTGGCGCGCTCAAATATCAGACTCCCCTGTCGCTGTGCCTCGACGAATAAGCCTTGAAAGCTTGAAGCACTTGGCTGCAATTTTGGTCAGATCATTAGTAATGCACTACTCATAAGGTTAATGAATATTCGTCGACAGCCCACAACTGGGGCTCATCAGGTAGCCACAGTCCCCGAATTTCCGCCAACCTTATGTTCTACTTGAAACCAAATTGCACGAAATTAGCGAATATACACTCATTTGCAAACTAACTTGGTTTTTCGAGAGACTCACCTGGAACCCAGCTGAACTACGCCTACCTGATGAGCCATCAAAAGGGCGAAACCGGTCGTGGGCTGTCGACGGATTTTCAGCAACCTTATGAGTAGTACATTACAAAGATATACGTGTATCGCGATATCTCGAATATCGTAGCGGCTGAAACATGAGGCGGCCTGGTGCAGCACATTCAGTTGCCTGGAAACAGCACAAATGAGAGATTCAGCTGTGTTCCAGGTGGGTCTCTTGAAAAACCAAATTACTCCGTGCATTTCGCTAATTTGGTCAGATCAGTTCCGCCATGGTGACTTCTCAACCACTGGGCTCAACTGTCGTCCCTTGCGATATTTATCTAAGCCCTTTACACTCGGGGATCAGTTTTTCTTGAGGATGCGCAACACATTTATATGATTGGTAGTCATTAAACCCTATGAAACATAAGCATATGTGAAATTCCGGAGGACAGCCTAGATTACAGGCTGTTAATCTTAATTCGACAATGTGTTCATACGGCTTTCCCCACACTCTGTGTACGTGCAGTGACAGACTTCGAAGAGGTCATCGGTGGTTGGACAGGGCCTGAAAGCTGAATTCAGCTCAGTGACACTGACCCACTCCACTCCCACTTTCAGCCATCGCAGTGCACACTATCAGTCGTGAGGGGCGGCCTGCTTTGTCTTCCCATTGGGGTCAGGATGACGCTGACAGCGGTGATTTAAATCATGTGACTAACATGGGAACGCCATTACCAACCTTGGCCTGTGGCCATGACTACGGTCCAGGTGTGAGGGTTACTATGGCTACTGACCCTTGGCCTAGTCTTTTGATCGTTAGCAGGACTCACCTAATGGTCTCACACAGAAAAAAGACTACGTGTCACGCAAACAATCGTGATTGGAGCACTGAGCCTACTGGAGGTTGAATGCAGGCAGAATTTGATCCAGATGGCAAAACAACCCAGCAAGACCATTCAGTCAACCGGAAGTCGCTACCACTATGTTCAGAGCACCTTGCTCCGCGCCAAGAAAGTAAGTAGCGGGATGTTTACCCCTTTTAGTGAGGATATTAGTTTTTTTAGGTGTTCGGATTAGCAATTCGGTCCTCAAGGTGAAAACGCTCCACTGCGAAGTCACCGGAAAGAAACCCATGGTGACCACGGGTCATAATTCGCTGATCTCTGATACATGGATTGGTTCCATGAGATGGGTTGCCCCTGTCGTGTCCTCTTCCATCATTTGGCACAGTTTACAGGTCAGCACATGATCCATCGCCTCACTTCTCATCCCGGACCAGTAGACCCACTGCCGAAGTAAGTCGTACGTCTTGGTGCACCCTGTGTGTGCCACCTCGTGGCATTCGACAATCAGTTTCCATCTCAAGACGGGCAGCACAACATCGGTATCGGTGACGTTCCAGGAAAGTATGCCGAATTAACTCAGACTCAACCTATCGAAGCGACTCTGGGACGTCTCCAGTTCTTTTTCTCCCTCCTGATTCTCAACCCTCCCTCCATCCAACAACGCGGCTGCAACCTTCCTCCTGCAGCTGTAGTCGCACCATACTTCCGGCATCCAGTTCGATGACTAGGCAATTGGCGTCAGTTATGCTCTTCCGGGCTCCATCTTCAGCCCCGGGTCTTGACAGCCAATCAGGAGGTGATTCTCCCCCCCCCCAGGTGCGTGCCAGATGGTGAAGTGCTACTCTTGTAACCGGAGCGCTTAGCGCGCGAGGTCTCCTCGAAGATCTCTGGTAGTCCTGATCCCCTCGACGGGTTTGTGACAGGTCTCGACGGGAGATTCATCTGGAACTCAGCTGAATCTCTCGTTTATGATGTTCTTAAGCAACTGAATGTGTTGCCGCCTCATGTTCCAGTTGACACGATATTCCAGATATCGCGATACATTGTACAAATGTAATGCACTACTCATAAGGTTGCTAAAAGTACTGTGACAACCCACGACCAGTGTCGTCCTCCTTGGGGCTCCTCAAGTAGGCGCAGTTCCAGATTCTCCGTCAAAATTATGTTCTACTTGGACATTCATTTGTTTAAAAAACATAAACGAGAGTCAGTTGGGTTCCGGCTGCCTCCCGTCAAAACAGAATTGGGTGAAACCAAACGGGTGAACTTCGTGCAATTTGGCTTCAGGTCGAACATCAAATTGACGGGAAATCGGGGACTGCGCCTACCTGATGAGCCTCAAGAAGGGCGAAACCGGTCGTGGAATGTGGAGGAGTTTTCAGCAACTATATAAGTAGTGTATACGACAGTAAGCCAGCTAGACATGATCCACCGGCTAGGCGGATTATACGCTCCATTTTCAGTTTACGATGGACTTTGTGGTTTAACTGAATTTTCGAGTAATACTTGTCATCAAGGCTTTCCGACTGCCTCGCTCAGCTTAAGGAGGCTCTATCAGCTATCGGATGAGTAAATGATGGAATTTTGATGAAACGCCGGGTGTAGATGTGCATTAAGTAGGCAAAGCCATTTTGATCATCCCTTTGGATACACTGGATGTAAAACTTTTCCCAGAGTCATTCGTTCGGTAACGAATTACAACGTCATGCTCAATCCTCGTGTGGATTTAATCGAAGATAATCGATTATCGTCGGTCGGAGCACCAGAAACACTGGAGATCATCTACGGTTGCCTGTCAGATGGTGTCCCCGATGTTTCAAATTTCAAATTTCAATAAACTGAGCCTTGTGATGGATTGCCGAGTGCGACGATAACTGCAAAGCTCAGCAGTTGGAGGAATTTCCAGTCTCGTTGTTCAGTAACCGAAGCAGTGGGCGTGAGTAGCTGAAATTTGTCAAAAAACGTCCCGTCGTATTGTGTGTTTCAATATGACTGAGCATAATTCCAGCCGGTGTTTCAGAAAATAAATAACCTCTGCGAGGTCCTCGGAATCCAACCATCCAGCCACATAGACGTTGTCAGTTGGATAGAATAGATGCTAGAAGCGGCCTTCATGACCAGATGATCAGAACAGAGCAGTCCCAATTTCTATCAGATGAGCTCAGCTATCCTGGGTTCGATACGACACCAAGTTAGATCCCAGCCATCAGCTTCGCACAAACCTTATTTCAGCAGTTCTATTGAACAGATGCTAGGAAGTTCGTATGATACTCTGCTATCGAGATCCCAAGATATACTGTAGATGACTTTTAACCGCATGCCATATGACCTTATAGCCACCTTGGCAGCCAGCCCGGCGTAATTCATCATTGTTTCATCACTGGTCCCTTTGATCTTGTCACGAGCACGTGCTTCATTTGTGTGGTGGCGATAGACCACTGCCACCCCCCACTTCCGTCCCTGTTACATTGGGGAGCTGTCCTGTCCATATTTGTAGCGTGAATGTCCTGACTTAAGCCCACGCGCGGAGAGAGGCAGTGGCAACCCGGTCCAGGGCTTGTTTAGGCCCTGTTAGTTGAAGGCAGGTCCCTAAGCCGGGATTCGGTTGTCACGGCAATGCAGAGCCGAGTCGCCTGTCCGTTAGTCTACTAGAGAAAAGACACCTAACACACGCTCATGTGGGCAGATGAGCTGGGCGGGTGGCGGGGCGACAACTAGACTGAGTCACATGACTGACTTGACTGATCTGAACCCGTGTTTGTGAGCGTCGGAAGCCTGTTGGCGACTTACTCTGCCTGTGGATTGATTCAAATGGCCGGGAGATCGTACGGAACTGCAGTTGGGCAAGCCTAAAAGTGGCACTTTGTCATGACTTAGCTCCACCCGCGCGATTTTGGATGCGTCGGCTTCCGACCACACAGAGTGAGTGATCACAGTGTGTGGTGTAGGCTGAAACAAAGGGGGGCGGCATCCAGTGGGATGGCTGGTAGACATATAAGCGACTGGGCACGTTGACCTATGGTATCGATCCGCAGCTGGTTCAGTTGCCATCTAACGACCCCACAGTGCTCCCGGGCCATCCATGTGCATCATTGCGCGCGTGTGCGTGCAATTCTTGAGTTGTGACAGAACACACAGTACACAAAACAGACTAAAGTAGGATAAGTAATCATTCCGTGGCAAAACCAGTCTCCCAGACAAAGGGTATTTATTGCGTCCCACAAAGGTGGCTTTCATAAGCATCACCATTATCAATTTAAAAAAATGCAGACGACCAGATCACAAACTGAAGCACTAATGATGACAATACGAATAAAAATAGTAGATAAGTTTCATTTATGAACCTGTGGATAGCACTTTAATTGGGACGTAATCGAATAGTCCATATATGTATGCTTTTCCTCGATTCCTTAATTTGCCACTGTTTTCAAGACATGCGATTGTGTACCCGACGCAACACGCGACAGTCGAGCTCAGTCAAAGTCAGTGGTTGTTACAGAACAGCGTGTTAAATGGAAACCTGAGGGTGGCGCTTTGAACTTGTTGTTGAATAAGTGGGAGATATCCAGGAATTTTCCGATGGCAGAACCGTATCAAGAGTCGCTCTTTCAGAGCCAGTGTACTGTGCCTTGTTCGGAACCGCAAGTCTTTCCGATGCCTAATGGAGAATCTGTTCACATCCAGAAGCAACACACTACTAATGAGGTTGCTGAAAACTCTTCGACAGCCCAGGACCGGTTTCGCACTTCTTGGCGCTCATCAGGTAGGCGCAGACGCCGAGTTTCCATCAGCCTCGTGTTCTAATTGAACCCAAATGGGACTGGTTTCGACAAATACACTCATTTGCAAATCAATTTGTTTTTCACGGGGGACTCAGGTGGATCCCTCGTTTATGGTGTTCTTCAACCGAATTAGCTACACGCAAGTCGCCTCATATTTCAGTTAGTACGATATTCGAAATACCGCAGTTTGTTTTCATAAAGGAAACTGCCCACAAGGTTATCGACATCTGTCCAATTTGAATTCAAGTGGAACATAAGATTGACGGATACTCGGGGACTGCGCCAACTTGATGAGCCCCAAGAAGCCCGAAACCGGTCGTGGTCTGTCAAAGAGTTTTCAGAAAACTTGTGAGTAATTTCCTTTACAGAAGTGCCCCCTTTCACTTAGATACTCATGAATCGGTTCACTGGTCATGCGACCATGCGAACCTCACCTCTGTTTGAAAGGACCTTCTTTAACCATGTTTTTTGTTTGTTTTAAACAGTCCCAACACTAGCCCCAAGCGACATGAATTTGCAGGTCGCGAATTCGCACTCACATATGCTGACAAAGAGTG